CACTCAAACAAGATTTTATTCAGCTGATCAAAAGTTTAAGACCATAGTCTTTAAAAGCCAAAAGCTGTGCAAAAATCTGGATTCCATGTAGTGCTGGGCGGTATACCGTTTTGTACCGAATACCGTTTTTTATTTTTGTTATGATATGAATTTTTTGAATACCGAACATTCCGGTTTAAATAGCGGAACGTTTCGTCGCGGCCGCCACTGAAGTGTTGTTTCCCGAGGGACATTTTTCCTTGCTGCACCGCTATGTGCGTTAGCATGCTAATGTTTGAAGCAGCTAGTTGCAGCCGCAGGTGGCGATTCTGCTACTTATATTGACTGACGTTTAAAAAAACATCCTGTTTTCGCCRTCGCTGAATGTAGTAAACACCTCCTCAGTGACGTGCACACTTAGATTTAACGCGGTTAGTTACTATGGAGACGTTATGCTGATGGAGACTTAACGTGGTTCCTATTGTGAAAAGCCTGCAGGAAGTAGTTCGTAGTGGAGTTGGAACTGACTGGTGTACAAGGTGAGTCGTGCTGATAAGCATTACATAAAACAATAAACCCGATCATAATCTTTTCTTAACCCTCCTCCTTCACGACTGGACCAAAATGCATGACTACTGTCTGCAACCACCAGTCAGAGAAGAACAGACACAGAGGAGGGAAACAGAGACACAGACAGAGCTACAGGAAAAGAAAAAATGTCAATAAGCAGGGTTTGTACATTTTATTATCAGCTGAGCTGTGATGAAAAAAAAATAGTCAAATACTGCGAAACTGGTGAAAATGTTGAAAATACGGTGATATAAAATTTTGATCATATCGCCSAGCTCTAATTCCATGTCATTTTCTGTCAAGTCTTTACACTGTCAAGACCTGATGGCAAAAGTAAAAAAGCTCACTGACTTTGAACGTGGTAGGATTGTTGAGCTGCATAAGCAAGGCCTCTCACAACGTGCCATCGCTGCTCAAGTTGGACGCAGTAAGACAGTCATTTCGCATTTTTTAAATGAACCTGTGGGTTATGGGGAAAAAAAGTCAAGTGG